GGGCATAGGAAGTATTAAGGCGCATATGTAGATGCCTGTTTAGTATGATTACTGCAATCTGCAGAATGTAGACATTGATGCTAATACAGTAGAGAAAAGCTATACATGACAATAAAAATCTCTAAAATACAAAACACATTAAAATTAAGACAATATAAAAAATTTAAATCTTTGTAAATGAAAGAAAGGTCATTGCATTGTTTACCTCAGCTCGGGAAGTATGTTCAATGGTGTACTGTGTTTGCTCTAGTATGCTTATTGCTTGCTCTGCCATAATGTATGCATCCAAATAGTAACTGTGTTTGCGTTCTTCATCTTCCACTGTGCTAGCAAGAATCCTTTCAAAGAATAAAAAAAATGGGAATATGTGAGACAAAAATAATGAGAACGCTGGAATAAGGAGGCCAAAAATATTGAGAAAAAAAACCTATGAAATAAATAAAATATTCCCACCTCATTAAATTGAAAATCCAGTTAAATATTTAAAAACTATGCTTTAGCCCAGTTACGAACTTATTCAAAAATCATTAAAGCAGACCCATAGTCTAAATATATGTATTCCTTAATTTCTATTATTTTCTATTTTTTGTAGAAGGTGTTTGCATTGTAATGTTCAGCCAGCGCTGCTCAGTCTACAGGTCTGCCTGAACACCAGCCCTTCTCTATAGTAGAGACCATATGACCATATGTCAGGATTTTTCTTGGCATAACAAAGACTGCTGCATACCTGGGTCAGCTTAATAAATTTGTATACCCCAGCTGAGAGTTGTAATATGAAAAATTTCATCTTCTGCATGCCTTCAGCCTGTAAGACTCTGAAAGTATCTTGCAAAAATTAAATTCCTAATACAGAGACGCCTGTAAGTAGCAACATTTGAATTTTGTCTCAAATTCACAAAGTTTTAGTCAACTTTAAATTTGAATTGAAAGATAATTATCTGCAAAGGTTTTTGTTTAATTTAAAGTGTATGTCAGGCCAAAACATATGTAGTACATCATCCCTGCAATACATGCACATTTCCCCATACTTGAAATGTTATGTTTTATTAATTTAAAGCTAAACTCCAGGAAAAATAAAAGGTTTTACCCTTGTAGGTGGTCCCCCTCCCCACTTCAAGGGTTAACTGCTTGCTTTGCTTAGGAGATGATGAATAAGATGATATACTCCCGGGAAGCCAATACTCTCCTCCAATATCTGACACTTTGAAATGTGGGCAGGCCCTCATCGTCCTCCAATACATTGCAAGACTGCTGGTACTGGATTGTATGTGATGACATCAGAAAGCTGAGACCAGCTGGGCAGCAAATGGAAGACTTCAGGGGATCAGTCATACAAAGAGGAGGAAGCCAGAGGGAGCGGGGAATAAGTTAAGAATATTGCCTTCTTCATCATCCCCTAGGCAAAACAAGCAGTTAACCCTTGCAGTGCCCCCCACATAAACATAAAACATAATATTTCATATTTATGTGGCTATAATTTGTTTTAATTTAATTATATTTTGTAGGGGTAAATATGATAACAATACACAAAACACTGTACATCCTCTTTGATGGCTTTTCCAGCAGCTACAGCAGATAAAATATTTATCAACTCAAAAATTTAGATTTGTTTTAATACAGTGACATACAGGTAAAATCTAATCTAGCAATGTAAGTTACTGAAATTCAGTAATCTAAGGTATAACTGTACCTGCTCAACCTCCTATTCAGCCCCACAATACACATACATGGTGCACAGCCAAAAAAACATCTTCATATTATCACACATATGGAAAAATGTAAAGGGTACAAAGTAAAATGTGCCAGCACTCTGCAAATCCTCCACAGCATATTCTATTGAAACGCGATAATGCTTACAACAATCGCTTATGTGTTTCATCTTATCTGGCATTAGCCGTGGAAAGTTATTGAAATACCTAAGGATAGTTGAGTGTTCCATCAGAAACTTTGCTCTGTACTCTTTGTGACCATAATGCAGGAGATCAGCTTCTATTTGACTCATTTTGTCACACATATCAAGCAACGTCACAACAATCTGAGAAGGCGAAGTTCCACTAATAATCAAAGCTTGAGCATTTTTAAGAAGAACTGAAAATTTCCTGTAAAATATATAAATATATGAGAAATTTAAGACAAAAATAATAACTTAAAGTGGTGCAATATGTCTGTAAATGTTTTTGTTCATCCAGGTCATGGTATATCTGTAAAAAATGATTCAAGACAATTGGACTTGCTGTATTTTTCTTGCAGAGGTTTCGCTGGTCATCCGACTGGCTTTCTAAAGAAAAATACAAGTCAAGTTGCCTTGATTTATTTTTTACAGATATGTAAAGTGGTGCAAAAAGCTAGACAAACTCTCAAGATAGCTAACTGATTTTAATCTGTTTCAGTAGGGATGCTGATAAAAAGACAGCCAGTAGAGACAGAATCTACAGATCTCTATAGAAGCAGTAATCAGGGAAATCAAAATTAGTAAGCATGTCACACCCAAACTGACTCAGGTAAATGTTAAAATATTAACTCAAAATGAAAGTACACTGTAGTTTCCTTTTATCAGTTATAAGGGGAAAAAGTAGGAGGTCACGTAGTAAAGTATGTCACCAGCACACCATGGTTAAGAAGTGATCATTATATTGATCCACACACATTTTATCACAGAGCTATTTGATGTGTGTGCATCAATAAAATGATCACTTCTTGAAGATTGAACCATGGTGTGCTGGTGACATACTTTACTACTTGAATCTGAAGCGGCACCATCTGCAATCACTACAGCACCCACCGCAAGGGACATACCAGTAAGGAGTGCGGTAGGACTCTCCTGCAAAATTGCTCTGGTATTGGAACTTCCAAACAGTTAATCAGCAGATTATGGATAATTGTGTTGCATTTATTGGCTACAGCACTCATCAGCTCTTTAGCCTGCTGCATTTAGACAGATATATCATGCATTTTAAGGATAAGTGATCTGACCATACTCATTGCTTTAAAGTTCAATTATATATTACACAGAAACTATATCTTTAAATTGAGTATGCTGCCAAATACAAATTTAGTTATATCTCACATTTATTTGGATTGTAACTAACCCCCCAGCGCCAGTACAGAAGTATGTGGCACGTGCAGCTGACTACAGAGTTAGACCACTAAGCTCTTTGTGAGAGCAGGGGACTCTCTAGAGTGGTCTGATACCTCTGCTTAGTCAGACTCCCCTAGAAATGCAATAAGAAAAGCTCATGATCCCTGCTGACTGCAGAGCTGTAGTAGTGACACATTAGGTGGCAAGTCAGATCACTGTAGAGGGACCACACATTGCTCAGTGGTCTTCATCTGTAGCCTGCTGCTGTGACACAGACTTCTGTACTAATTTAAAGTCCAAAACAATAGTTAGTCATCAAAATTTGCATTTGGCAGCACACTCAGTTTAACTATATATTCTCTGGAAACTACAACCGGGCTTTAAGATTGTATGCAATTTCCTCCAATGTTCTCCAAAATATATCTATAAATGTAAGAAATACACAATAAAAATGTGTACTGATAGGATCATGTCTATGAAGAACTATCCTTCAGAATGATCCTAAACCGATACTTTTATGCGAGATATGGTTGAATCGCCATTTACATTTTTGGAAATTCCAATGCCGAGACGTCTTTGAAGGTTCTCATCTATCTAGCAAAGAGTATAGCTAGTAGTAGTAGTTAGTCACATTCAGCTATAATGAGGAAGATGTTTTACCACAAATCTGAAGTGCCTTCCGTAGACAGTAAGTTGTGTAACATCTTCAAAATGATAGAACAAGTCCAGCTGAATGTGACGGACTACTACTATTTATCAAAAGCGGAGACTATCTACAGTACTATGAGCTTTCACCTCCCTCTACAAGGCCATTATGACAGTGAAGATCCCTTTCAGCTGGACCCCCTATTTGTTTATTTTGCATGATTATGCATCCACTAAGACAGACCCCACTCCACCCCAATGTTCTAAAAATCGGACATTTATTTTTTCAATGGAGCTGGCCTTTAAAAAAACATCTGAAGAAAACGCAGGGTATTGATTTACTATTAGGATCTGTTGAAGTTACTAAATAAAACCAATTAATAGTTTACCAATTTTATTTTCCAAATAAGAGATGCTATTAAGTCCATACAAAAAGGTTCATTTACTAAAGGCTGTTCACCTTGCATGGAAATCTTCCCATTGCTTAGTAAATGTGGTGAATGTGGAAGTCAGCATAGCTTTACCTCATTTACAAACCTTAGGGGGAAACCTACCTTTTAAAGTGAAAAGCTTGGCTTTAGTAAATCAACCACAAAACATCATATACAATCTTGGTCTTATCCGGCATCATTAGAAAAAACCCGGCAAGGTGAAAGGAATTTTAATGTAGTTTCCCTCACACAGGCAGCTTTTGGCTACAGATTGGGACAATAATCAGACTACGTATCCAAATGAATAAAGAATAGGCAAATTCTCACCTTGCATTCAGTTTGGCTACAAAAAGTACATATTCTGACTCCCTGTTTCTATCTTTGTGCAACATGGCTTTAAGAGCATTCATTGACGCATCAAAAATTTGGCAGGCCTGCAAAAGATGACATAAAATTAAAAGTGTAAAAGACAAATGTCTCATGTGGGTATTTGCAACATACTTGTGGTTTTTCATTCATTATTAAGTTGTTAATTCCATAAAGTGGTAACGCTACATCTAAATTCATCAATGTTCTCCAAGTTCTAGTCAGATTATGTTTGTGGACTGGCTGTACACTTGCATTTAGTGCTCAGTCCTGTATCAGAACTGGAACTTGACTTAGCAACACAGACAGAAATACAATTTTATTTTTTTAAAGTAGCATAGGGAAGGCTAGAACCCCTGTTACATTTGTATTGCTGTCTGGTAGAACTGTTGTCATTGGAACCATCTCTCACTTTATCTACACTTTCTCAAAAAAGTTATGGCTGGACATGCACGTTAATGTTCTTCTTTCTGTCATATACCAGACTAAGCTTTATTTGGCCTCTGCAAAATGCGTAAAGCTTAAGTATTCCTATGTTTATTCACAAATTTACTGCATACCATCCAACCAGTATTGTTGGTTGATTGTCCATAATGGCCATGAATGTTAAATTCCAGGAGCTTTAGTTGGAATATAACATTTAGTTGGTCTTAGAGAATTATATTATATATTATATTTACACTACAGATGGCTGTTTCCAGTATGAGAGGTTTGAAAACCTCTGAACTACTGGGCCGTTTTCAGTCTACTCTGGTGCTAAGTACAGGACACACCACCCATGTACTGCAACACTGAGTTCATGCTTGTTCAGGAGTAATTCCGTGCCATTCAATGACTTTATACTCTCTGAGCAATCTAAGTACATATATTTTTACAGAGATAGAAGCAACTTGGGTATTGATGTACTGTAAATATCAAAGAAACTGTTTAAATGAACTATACCTTTCTTTCTCTTCCTTCTTTTTCTTCACCTAAAACTGCCTCAGTTAATGAACACGTTGTTTCATACAGAAGCTTTGCATCCCTCTCTAGATCTTTGGCTTCCAGAAGCAAAGACCTTGCCTGTCCATGATTCTTCTCACAGTTTGCCAGCACCGATAACAAATAAAGGCATTTTAGCTGATAGTGCTTGTCGCCAATGTCCTGCAATAAATATAAGGGTTATATTTGGCCTTTTAATTACATTTCATAAAAAAGACATCTGCTGAGTCATAAATTTTCCCATAACAACCAATCAAAGCCTATGTTCAACTTACCGTAGTACTGGATAAAGAGTATAATAAAAAAAAAAACTATGGGGTAAGTGTTTTTCCTCATAGTTCTCTTAAGGGTCATGGAAGGACATAAACTAGCGTCCTCCCGTGACCCAAAGCTCAGTATATCGCGAGCTACAGCTCGCGTTATACTGAGACTGTCACAGCCGGAATGGATCCCGACATTACTGTCGCGATCCACCCAGCTGCGTGACAGCTGTACCCGCCTCCTCCTCCGTCCATTCCTCCAGTCAGTGCTGAAGGATCAGAGCGGGGGGCAATCCCTGTGGGGAGCCGTGACTGACAGTCACGGCTCTCTGCAGTGAGATGATCGAGAAGTGAGCGAGTGACGGTATGTGTTCATACACACTCACTTCCCGATCTATTGAGACAACGTGTGACAGTTTCATTGTCACATGTCGGCTCGAACTATGAGGTGCGTGATTTTCACTCACCTCATAGTTCTCCGTTAAATATAACTGGTTGCCTTGGACAACAGGTCTTTATTCTCCTCTTAAAATTTGTATCAGCCCTCATTTAACTTTTTGATAGATTAGCAGGTAGGATAGACTGACAACTGGCATTAGTCTACAGTTACTACACCTACCTATGTGAGTAATGGCAGTTATCCATTACTGTATCCAAATCTATCAAAGAATAAGTTTGAAGGAATCAGTGCAAAAAGGGTTATAAGCTACTTTAATGTATATTCTAGTT